AAGTGAGCCTATGGGAGGGAACACCGCGGAGCAGATGGGTTGTGGCTAGAACGGAAAAACCGGAAGCTAACAAATTGAATTTTCTACCTATTAGATTGTGTTTTATTAACGTCTACACCTACCCCAACCCTAAACCTACCCCTTACAATAATGCAAAAATAGTAATTATCGTTGTACAGTGTGAGAAAAATTACGCTATACTGATGTGCGCATGACCAGTAGTTTTTGTTGTATGCCATCTAGCCTTAACCCACCCCTTGTCCAAATACCCACACTTGCGGTCTTGGCCACTTGAGAGCGCGTGCGCGCGACAGGAAGTAAGTGCGCAGAAGAGGGGCGAGGCAAGATGGCGCCGACGACGCACGTATTATAAGTTTCTCTGTATAGGCTTTGGCCATTACTCCTTCAAAATGCGTAAATAGATGGATTATCTAGTTTGTTTAAGTGCTTATCAGTAGAAATGCTTAAATTCTTTAAGTGAAATTCAACTTAAAAACCTTAAAAGAGAAAACTAATTTGAATCAGTAGAGCCGAGACGCTAACGTTACAACACTAAAATGAGTGGCGTAAATACAAAGCAAAAGAAAGGTCCTCAGAAACTTTCGGACCACTCGTACCCTGCGGTATCTAACACGACAAGAGGTTCTTCCAAAGAACTTGATTTCGATGGATTGTGTACACCTTTCCCCGGAACTCCGTCAAATAGCCCAGCATCAAAGAAATCTAAAGCTGATCTGTCGTTACATGAGCTACAAGAGAACATCATCACTGCCCTCAACAAGAGAGCTGACTCTCTTGAAGAAATTATTAAAACAAATTCAAACACCATTGAAGAGTTGAAATCATCCCTTCTTTTTGTCAACGCAGAAATTGTGGATTTGCAGAAATCTAAAGTCGAACTAACAGCCAAAGTTACCGAGCAAGCAAGAGCTATATCTCAGTTGGAAAACAGAGTTATTGATGCAGAGCGCTACAAACGGAGATGGTGTCTACGACTATACGGAGTTCCAGAAGCAGAAACTGAAAATGTCAAGGTCAAGGTGACGGAGATATGCAAGGGAGTGACACCTGAACTCGCGACAAAGATGAGTGAGGCGGTGGATATAGCTCATAGATTGGGTAGGCCTGTGTCAGGTCGAGTGAGGGCTATTATCATCCTCTTTGCACTGCGCTGGGTGAGAGACTTCATCTGGAAAAGTGCAAAAAACAGCGACTACCTTAAAGAACGCAAACTACGCTTTGGAGAAGACCTGATAAAAGAAGAAAAAGTGTCCCGTGCACTGCTTTGGCCTTACGTACAAAAAGCACGCAATGAAGGAAAAAAGGCTTACTTCATCGGAGCTAAAGCATACGTTGACGGCAGAGAAATCATTCCAAAAAAAATGGATACTACTTGATTCCTGTTCGCTTAAAGCAAAATCAAGGATTACTGTTGTGAAGATAAGCACTTTTTTATTTGCTATTTAGTTTACAATTATTATATGGCTGTTTGCCTGTATTTTCAAATTTAGAAGGAGAAAAGCAGAGCTTTTTTCTTTTTGTTTTCTCTTTAATAGTACTTTTTTTTTTTTTTTTTTTATCGAATCTACCGTTTTGATGGTGTTAAAGTTATGTTCTATTAATGCCAGAGGTTTGAGAAACTTGATTAAAAGAAAAGCTTTTTTTCTTTTTTGCAAAGAATTCAAAAGTGACTTAATTTTCATTCAAGAGACTCGTTCGTGCCCTGAGGATTTTAATTTTTGGAAAAACCAATGGGGAGGTGAGATGTGGTTAGCTCACGGTTCCAGTCACTCAGGTGGAGTGGCAATTTTGGCACATACTTTCCATGGAAAATGTGTGTGGAGCAAAGGGGACTCTAAAGGACATTGGTTAATATTACTGATTGATATGAATGACTGTAAATTCATTATTGTTAATGTTTATGGGTACTGTTCAAAAGATGCAAACACTTTGTTATTAGGTGAAATTGAAAATCATGTCAATTCTACCATGAGAAGCAACCCTGATGCAAAATTAATCATTGGTGGTGACTTTAATTTGGTCATGAATGGTTTCATTGATAGATTTCCTCCTAGAGCGAACAGTGAGTCTAGTGACCTCTTACTTTTAAGTTATAGTCTTGACTTAATTGATATTTGGAGGGTAAAAAACCCTTCAACTAAGCAATTTACTTGGAGCAACAAAAATTTCTCATTACAATCCCGCATTGACCTTTGGTTCGTTTCTTCAGACTTAGAGCAGTTCATTTTAGATACATCTATATTGCCTGCTGCTCTAACAGACCATAAAGTTATTAGTCTTAAAATTGCATTATCGGGGTGTAAGGATAACAGAATTAGTGGAGGTTACTGGAAACTCAGTAACTCATTACTAAACTATGATGACTTGAAATCCATTATAGAAAGACTTATTCATAAGCATTGGAACTCTGTAATTAATAGTGGTATGTTTGGTAAACAATGGGAACTTTTAAAATTTGAAATAGGATGTGCTGTTAGGACCTATGGTAAAAGATTAGCTAGCAAAAGGAAGGCAGACTTACTTGAAATTTCAGCTGAAATTAATAATTTAATAGAGAAAGGCACTTTCACTTTAGAAGATCAGGTCTCTTTGAATAAACTCCAAAACAAACTTGACAAAATATATGAAGAAAAAGCCAAGGGAGCCTTTATTAGATCAAGAAAACAATGGTTAGAAATGGGAGAAAAAAATAGTAAATACTTCTTTAATCTTGAAAAAAAAAAGAGTGGAGGTCAATGCGAGTAGGAAAATGAAAATTGATGGTGTTGTTTGTGAGGATAAAAATATTATCTCATCCAATATTACAGAATTTTTTAGTAACTTATATAAAAGTGACTCCAATGTCATTGACCCTTTTCCTGTTCTAAATTCTATTACTTTAGAGAAAACTGTTATTAGCGACTTTAATTGTATATGTTCTAAAAAAATATCATTGGAAGAAGTTAAAGAGGCCATTAATAACTTAAAAAACAACAAATCACCGGGGAGTGATGGGTTGACTTCAGAACTATATAAAACTTTTTATGACCATTTATCTAAATTTTTACTCCCAGTGTATGAAGAATCATTTGTCAATGTATGCCTTCCACCATCAATGAGAGAGGGTGTTATTACTTTAGTACCAAAATCTCATAAAGACACTCTTTTGGTCGATAATTGGCACCCAATCACATTATTAAATAATGACTACAAAATTTTGGCATCTATTTTGGCAAAACGTCTTAAATATGGCCTGGATGACTTAATTGATGAGTGCCAGTCTGGGTTTATAA